GCAGTTTTTATTAAATTAGATTTGCCAGGTACTGAATCTGCTTTGTACTGATATCTTGTTGAGTAAAATAAGTTAAAAGTGAAATCAGAAAGCTATAACTTTCCCAACTGATATTTATAAACATTGTATTTACTTGTGCATGTAAGGACAGGAGGTGGTGAACTGAAAGCCAGACTAAGATTTAGATCTAAACCTTGAATTTCACTTTGTACCTAAACCAGAGGTAACCAATTCATCCTCCTGGCATGGCAATCAGTAAATGGCAAATCCCAATAAATCCAAAATAGCAAATGAGGGTTATAATGTGTAGTTAAAATCTCCAGTAGCTGGATGCAATACATTTGGTTTCCCACCCTGAGAAGGATCAGAAGATTTTGTAAGAAAGACTATCTAATGCTGATTTCCCTAGATGCTATCAAGTTGATTTTCAGCTGAGATGAGGACATTCAAAAAATCCTCGTGGCTAATGTAAAGACTGTGAATTGAAAAGGAATGTGCAGTGTTTGTCCTCAATACAGTTTATTGAGGTAGGGTGTATTTTCCTGTTGTTTGGAAAGGGTTAGCAGGGAAGTTGGTGCCACCTTTCAGAACTCACATGCCTAATGATGGCTCTCACAGAAGCTGACATTTTCTGTAAGCAGTATAACAACTGAACAGCAGCGATGAGTTCCAAGAAAAGGAAATGTGCCTGTGTTTCCTCTCCCATCTTGGCTGATCAAATAGAGAAGCCCCTGGCTGAAACCTTAAAATATTCTATTCTTTGTGCCTCTCTGCTATGTGGTCTTTTATTGTTTTTCCTCTGGAATGATAGAAATTCTGTCTATGACATAATATTATTTTTAGTGCATTTTTAAATAGGCATTATATTTTCAGTACCAATTTTTTTTTTCTCAACTACTTGCTGATGCTCTCTTAGATGGTACTATATGTAGACCATGCATATAGTACAAATATAGAAAACACTACCAATTTTCTAATTCTTTTACCACCTTCAAGTGTCCTTTTTATCACTGTCAGCTCAGAAAGAACTTTATTTCCCTCTTCTCCCACAATCTTCTTCAACAGTATTTTGTCTGTGTGGTCCTCTTCCAGCATTTTCTGTATCATCTTTCCACCAATATTAAATGCATTAAAAACATTCTCAGATTTTTTTATTGCTTCATGATGCCCACATAATTATAATTTTCTTATCAATATCCATCATCTTCGAACTTTCAGTTTTCAATTTTATCTTTCTGACAATTTTCTAGCCAAACCCACTTTCACAATTGTCTTAGAAGAAAGTTGCTATGTTATGTGCAGTCAACAAGTCTTTTCTAATCATGGTTTCTCTTCTCTTTTTATTGCAACACTGCAACGTTGAGACATTCAGATAACACTTCCACTGTTACAGTAGCTTCCACACCGATGTAGGTTCATTTATTTCCTCACTGTAATGCTAATGGATCTGTCTGTGCCAGTATTTTCTCCTCCAAATCAAGGATACATTTATAAAGGTATCCTAACTGGATAGGTTCCTTTAACAACTGCCTTCCCCCCTTTACCTTTAACAACTAATTAAAATCTACATATATATACAGATGCATACATACATATTAATTTTATGTATATAAATATGTACGTAAATATGTATAAAAAAATTTTAAGGGAAAATAACCTTCAATTACCCTGCTAGTGCTCATAAAAAAAAAAAAAAAAACAAAACACTCAAAACAAACAAACAATAACAACAAAAAGAAAAACTAACGAAACCTGGGTATTTTCTAAGTGAACTAAGTATGCTTTTTTTAATTTTTTTTTTTTCTTTTTTAACATAATAGGAAGACAGTAGCCAAAATATTAACTTGCAATGTTGACATTATTGAAAAATTCTATGGCAATTTTTTCTTAGATAGACAAAGCTTAAAATTAAAACCTTTACATGAATTTTTGATACTATTAGTATTTTTGAGAAAAATATTAATCCTCTTAGTAACTCAATATTTAGCAAAAGAAGGATATTTGAGAAAAAAAGTTAAATACTGAAATTTATTGGTATTAATCAGTAATATTTTAGATATTTGTGGAAGAAATGTAAATTAGACTGTAGAAATTTTGTCACTGAGTGAGAACTGAAAAGCCACATGATCACACAAACCTTTTCAATGTGTATTGATTAAAGATAGTACTCTAAAAATTCTTAGTCAATGGATGTTTTTCGGTAAACTGACTTTGAAAACATTTCACTATATGTGCTTAGAACCTGTCAGTTTGCCTTATTACTGCTTTTTATTCAGAAAGATGCACAGGGTGTGCAATAAGACATAGAGGCATTTCCATCCTGAACAGATAACATGTTCGTAGTTTGGACTAATCATTTTAAGCAAAATATATTGTAAGAAAAAATCTCGAAGTAAAATCCCAATCAAATCTGTTTCAGAGTTCAAGTTCATGAAATGCTTGCAGAAAGAAGTTAAAGCTAGCTATTCAACCTCTTCGACAAAAATGCCTTTTATTAAAATAAACGTCAAGATGACAAAATATTCAGTGAAATAATGATGTGGTAATGTAATAAATAAAAAGGCCTGTTCCTTCCTTGCATATCATGTTAATGTCTGCTGCATATCAGAAGACAGAAATTAACCTTACATCTGTGTAGTCTTTTCTGATTCTTCTCAGAAATACCTTATTTAATTTAAATTAGGTGATATTTCCTAGGTCCTTCTACAATAAAAAACTACAACCCACTTTACATAAATTAATCCCAAAAGGGAGTCAGTTTTTAAAATTAATGTTCCCTAAAATTTCAAGACATCCACAGGTCAATAAACCTTTTTCTTTTCCGGTATTTGATGGGCAGTGAGGCCTTCTTAGTTTCACTGCCCATCAAATCCACCTCTTTTCAGTTTGATCTTTTGGTTAACTTTCTTGAAATGGTCCGTGGTAATTCCTTTGGAACATAGCGATTGATGCTGATGAGGGAAGAATGCATTAATTGCAGGCTTCCCTAACAGATAACATGACCGACAGGCTTTTCAAGCCAAGAAAGTTATATTTGATTTCCACTGGAATTCTAGTAAAGAGGAAAATGCCTTACTGACCACACATGCCAGCAATTCCAAAAGATCAGAGATCACTGAATTAATATGTTAGCCTCATGGGACATTATAACTCTTGTTTATATTTTTGCTGTCTTTTTTACAGTAATAAAAGCCCAGAGATAAATTCAGAGTAGATCATAAGAGTGAAAATGGAGCTAGTTATCTATTGTTTGCTTGCTAGGCATTTTGTACTTCCTTCTTTTGAGATAGGAGCATTTTTTTTGCCACTGCCAGCAACTGATGTTATGGAAACTGTTCTGAAAATGCCCAAATGTAAGTGTTATCTTCAATTGCTGAATGTGACAAGCTACTTCCTTTCTGTGACTTCAGGAGGCAAGAGTGAGACAAAAGTATCTAAAAACCTAAGTAATTGTAGTTCAGATGAAGAATTGAGAATCAAGGGCAAATAAAAATATACCTAATTATTTATTATGTTCTATTTATTCTAACTTCACTTTTACATACCCAAATAGTTACTATTATTATTACTACTACTAATAATAATAACATTATTATTGTCGTTCATTTATTATGATTTATGGACCTTCAAATGAAGAAAGCAGAAAAAATAATAGTAATATCCCCCTCCCTTATGAGTTACAGTCAGCAAAATTCCATATTGATTAATTACATATCAGTAAATTTGGGCCAGAGATAAGGAACTGAGAATTACGTAGACTGGCTGAAGATGTGGTGTAAAGGAGGTGAAAGCACTTTTATTCCTCAAATCTGTTCTCTTGAAGGCAAATTTACAGTTCAGTCCTATACATATTTCTCTCCTACAAGGAAGCAATTTGTTCCTTCTGATGAATCACATGTCTCCATTTCTTTTTATTACAAGTTTCTTAAAAAAAAAAAACCCCATTATGTACTAGTTGTGATACAGAACACATGCATACTTAGTTAACGGGTTTCATTTACTAGACATGTACTGTGTGGTAAGTAGCCCACCACAAAATGGTCACATTTTCAACTGTTGTGCTATATCACAGGACAATTAACGGCATTATTGCAGTATGGGAACAGACTAAGTTCCAAATGAATCTTTGTACAATGTACTGAGCCTTACCCTGAATATTTTTATTAGTGCTTTGCTTACATAGTTTTGTAAAATATATGCTGATCCTTTTCAGGAGGTGTGGCTCTTGTCCATTCTTACTATAGTCTCTAGCAACTAGAACCTCAGAATTTCAGCCTTTAACTTCGAGCTGCCTGTAGGTTTGTTTTTTCAGAAAAAAAATAAAAAATGTGGAAATAACAGATTCCTGTTAGACACACCGCTGTATTCCTTTGTCCCATGGATCCAATGATTTGACATAATACACAGCTGTAGAGAAGAGCAGCAATTGTGCTCTTGATGCATTTTGCAAGAAACCATCTCTATTCAAGGAATCTTACTCCTTTTTTTTAAGACATTGCAGTGCCTTCAAGTAATATGAGACCGCCAATGGATGGACTTGGAGACAGTCAGATGATCCAGTTTGTTCCAAATTCTGCTACTGGCCTGCTCCATAATCTTGTGCAAATATATTTTTATGCCTTCATTTGGACAATAGAATTCATACATTTTTAGAATTTTAGAACATTGATGGATATGTCTAATTCTGTAAAGTGTAACAATCCCATTCCCCTTTTATAGTAAAATGGATAAAATACAATCTGAAGAAAAGTTATATGTGTGTGAGTGTGTGTGTGTTAAACAGGTTAATTTGAAAAGATCAGGCATGATCTTACTTTGACCAAACACTTCAGTTCCCTCTGACCTTAGGAAAAAAAAAGAATATTTTGAGGAAGCAGGGTACTCTCTGAAGAAAATCTACTGAGAATTCTTGAGCTAGAATAATGCACAGGTACCACAAAATTAAATACATTTGAAATGAAAATTGTAAATGAAACAACTGCAAATTTTCTTTTTCTTACCTGCTGGTTTACGGGAAAATTCCTGTTGATTTTTTTTATCTATAAGTGAATAAAGAAATAGATTAATACTCAGTCAGTAGGAGAAAAAAACAAAACAAAACAAAACAAGAAAAAAAAAACCAAAATAAACAAACAAAAACCCAAACCCCCCCAAAACATTGTATTTAATTGGAATTTAGAGACATATGTCAGACACTCCCCTCCAAATTATCTATCTAAAAAAAATAATAAAAAACCCCAATAAAATCGCCTGCAGCAAAGGGACTGAAATCTTTGACAAGCTCATGTGAATGATCGGAGATTTCTGCCTTCACTGTGTGGTTCATTCTGCTATTCAGAATACAGAAAAAGAATATCTACAAGATTATTTCTGAATTCTACAACACTACACCTTTTGCTTTTTTCTGATTAGAAGCTATAACATAAACTAGAGTATTTAACTATATAAATAATTCAGAACAACTTACTACCATCCACCAAAATCATCATGCTATAAGCATTTCCTTAAAGAATGATGGGAAATTGGGTTGGAATAGCCTTTGAAACATCCCTTACTCTACCCTTGTATCCTAGGTGCAAAATCAAGTGTGAAAAATCACAATTTTGATAATTGTTCAAGTAATTTTTTCTTAAAACATTCCACAATACCCCTAGGTAAAAAGTAAAGAGAAAACCAGTCTGAGACATGTGATTCATGAGGAGTTTGCATTTATCCCTGACAGATCACTGACTCCATCTAAATAAACATTGCCAGCTTTCTGACACAAAAGTGTCCAATACAAGGAGAATTAACTGTGGAGCATACACATTCCTGCCATTAGTAGAACAAAAATCTTTTTTATTTTAAGCATAAGCGCTGCAAGCTTTTGAACAAACCTAGTAAATGTACTATGTGCATTCATGACAGATACTTAATACTTATAATTTATTTTTTGCTCTCTATGTTAACTTTTCACAATTGTTTTTGTAGCTATGGGTAAATGAGTAAAACATATCTTCAAATTAAAGACACTGTCAACTAAGAATCAGTTCCAAATCCCTGAAAGCCCTGAAAACACAGTGCATTATTTAAACTCCTGCAACCAAAGGTACGATATCTTTTTAGAAGAAAAGAAGACTCACCACTGAATTTTCTCCAGTGTTTACAATATCATCTCTAAACAACTATATGCAGAGATGTGAGTGGCAATGTGTTTTGCAGATTTTAAAAACAGACTGTTTGCTGCAGTGGTAACCTCTTTGCATTCTTCATGCAAATACTGAGCAAGTCTGCAAGTCTGTCACTGACATCCCACAGTTTTGCTATGAAAGGACAACTCTTACTGTCAAGAACATGCTGACAAGCAATTTCAGTTGGTTTTTGAAATGTATCCTGAACGACAAGTGTCAGAAGAACATTTCCAGCCTCCCGTCTTGCATGTATCTCAGCTTTAATTTCCTTCTTTCTCCAATGTAGGTTAAGGGAAAGCATTAGAGGAGTTAGGATATTTGGTGGACAAAGTATGAAAAATAAAATAGATCCACACTTTATAAGATAACTACCTTACCCGATTTCTTAAAAGAAAAGGTGAATGAAAACCACAGTTTTCTGACAGAAAAACAGAGATTTCAAGAATTTTGAGATTTATTCCTGAATCTTCATCATGATAAATCTGTTTGTGCTAGGAGCACTATTGAGATCTTCATCAAAACTGTGTGTTTCCTTCTAGTTTAAGCAAAGACTGCAGCCAATAACATGAAAAAATTTCAGTTATGAAAGAACATTGTCAAGAAAAAGAGATTTTACTATTCTAAACAAAACTCTGAAAATATCTATTTAGGGGCAAATTACTGTTACATATTAAGTACTTTGGTGTTATTTTTGTTTACTTCATATATAAATTTTTTAACAGAAATAAGGTACATTAGGATCCTTGTGTATTTTTACATGTTCCTGGGAAATGTAAATGCAAGATCCAAACATCATTTTCTCATTCACAAATTTCCAGCTCATTTCTCAAAGTACCTACACTGCACAGTTGTTTTAACTGTTGTTACTTAGATGAAATAAAACTATTATGTTCATCTTTCAGCCAACATGGTGATGATTTCTTGAAATGCATTATTTTTATTTATGTTATAGCTTGCAAACTGCAGTATAGGTATTCAGTTATACTTGGAACTAAAAAATGTCAAGTGTGATTAGTTTTAGGAATACCCTAAATATTTATCATTCTCATGCATAAATATTGGGCATACATAACAAGAAAAAAGTTCTACAATTATGCAGCAAAAGTCATTGGTCTTTAAGATTATGAGATACAATGTCTCAAGAATACAGAAAGAAAAAAATTAGCCAACATTTTTCTTCCCAACATGTTACAAAATACACTGAGTAAAATTTAATCTACAGATGATCCAGATCCACAAATCCTTAATAATAAAAATCTAAATGTAAACATTTTTCACAAATGAAAAGAGAAAAATATCTAATGTTACTTGATAGATTATCTAAATGAGAAATGTTTCTTCAGTCTTCCTTAATGTTATTGAACTCATTATAATACTATTTATTAAGGACAATCACATCACACAACACTGTGTAACTCATGTAAATGAATAACATTTGTTCTCATCAGAGGACACCAGTACAATACAATACAAACATATATGCACATAAAATTTTTAAATAAAATATTCCGGCAGATGCTACCCCAAGAAAGAAAGGCAGGTGCTCTGAGAACACTCTTTAGAAAGATGTGTTTATCCAGAACAATAAAAAATCAGGAGTGGCACAAAAGGAGACAAAAGAAGAATCTAGTAAACACATCCTGTTTGAAGGCAAAGATACAGGAAGCATTATGAAAGCTGAATCGAAGCTAGTATGAGCTACCTGCTTCTACTTCATGTTCAAAAAAACAGGTATTGAGGTGGGAAATTCTAATCTGGTTCAGTTTCCGCGAATGCAGATTTGGAAAAAAAAAATCTAAGAGCACCATTGAGAAAGTAGTTTGGGATTTGGTGATGACCTAAATGTGGAAGGAGGAAGAAAGCACCAAAAATAATATATCTGCAGTATGTTGCATCTGACCAGTAAATAGGCAAGTGATGTTGATACAAGACCAATAGTGGAAGAATAGATTTCAGCAGAAGCTATCATAGAAGAATGGGTTGAAGCATAATTGATTGTGATAAGGGTACAAACATGTATGACTAGATATGCTCCAAAAAATCAGCTGGCCAAATTTGTTAGGACATCATAGTCATGAAGAATACTTCACGTGGAGATGAGATGATATGAAGTGAAACATACAGAAGAATGTACCATGGCCAAATTCAGTTAATTTTGTGCACTAGATGTTGCCACCACAGATGGATAGTTTTCAGAGTAATGGTTGTGCCTCCTCTGCAGAAGAAACAAATAAGAATATGGAACACATCACTCCTCAGCAGTGTGAGCAGAGGAGCAGGCTTTGGCTTCAGGTGTGCACAATGATTGCAACTTGTTTTTGTTTTTTAATTTTACTTTATTTTATTTAACAGTCTCCATGCCAGAGAAGCAGTAATTCAGAAGAATGCCCTTCCATACTACTATCTTTCTGTGTGAATTGTACTTTATTATTTTTGCCCTCTGTTGGAATGCAACTGATTAAGCTCACAGAAACTGAGTTTTAAACTCTCACATTCAGTTGAAACTGAACTGAATTGCTCTCTGCTCTGAGAGATACTATTTCAGACCTTCTCTGAGAAAATAGCACCGCAATAACTCTTTTCAGTTTCCATAAGAGGATTGTAAAATGTAATCTCAAAACTGCTATTTATTAGGGGCTTGTTTGACCTTTTTTACCTATTTATTTTAATGAAATTTGCTATTCCAATGTAATCACAGGTTCCTTATGAGATGATGAGGAAATATGCCTTTCAATGAGGACATACCACCCTAAGGACTCTTAAGGGCAGTATGATCTAGAGATAAGGGCACTGATTCCAGGTTCTTCCAATTCTTAAAAATTTAAATAGAAGCAATCATATGTTTGAAAACTCTATGTGTCCCGTGCTTGCTTTAACCCTATTTCCTGAAAAACTGTATTGTAAATGAGAGGCTTACAGTTCTAATGTGTTACTGGGAAAGATGATTAATGACAGTGTGAATCTCAGGTATCACAACTGGTCTTCTGCGAGAAGCAATAATATAGCAGGTGTTAGCTGTCAGGACGGAGTGCTTGACAGAGACCATCCTCTCAGAGTACCTACAGAACAGCCAACACTTAAGTGAAACATTTTGAATGAGTGGGCACAAGCTCCTGCTCAGTATTTAGTTGACTTAAACAGTAGATCAGATTCTCCCACACTTGCACAAAGCATTCAATCTGTCATTTTCTTTCAGCCTGTAGGTATCATGTAACTTTGCAGATCTCCTTCCTTATCAGAAATTTTTAAAGTAAAAAAGAACCCTTTATTATTTTAATTTATTCTGGCCATATATATGGATTTCCCCAAACAATTTAGACTCTGTAGCCTTCTGCATTGTTTTCATCACATAACTGCTGATTTACATTCATTAACAGCCAAATAAAATATAATAGCTTGAGAAGAATGAAAATTCATTAAATAGTTCTTAACTTTATTTTGGGCATTAAAGCAACAATACAGTTCATGCCACTGGTATGTTAAGTGATTGTAAACAGGTAGCAAGATCATCACAATCTGGAGCATTTTGGAAAAAATCATGAATCCATGCTGCGATAATCTTATGTTAATGAATGATTATGAAAGAGTATATAACTAATGTTTGGAATTATTAGTTGGTTAGTCTTATTTTCTGTTTTGAGTATACGTGCACAGAAAAAAGCAGAGAATCAGAGAAAAATTGAAAGCACGCAACAGTTCACACAAAATACATCATATGTTGGTGAATATATTCAAATATATGTATAACTCATATAGACTGACTGTAGGAATTCTTGATGATGATTTTACAAGGTGTAGTCGATTTCAGAGTTTAGGATTATAATCCATACAAACTGTGATATTCAAAGTTATCTGTCAACATGTTCTAG